TGCGAGGCCTCAGCACTCCGGGCAGGAGCGTTGTCTGCGGTAGCCATGGGGGTGGGTGCGCGCGCAATAAGCGTGGAAGTCGCGTACAATGGTGTATTTTCGAGGCCTGCTCACCAGCATAGTGCGACTGCCGAGGCTGCAGTGTCGTGAAAGTTGACGACAACTGCGGTGATTCCCTGCCCTCGCCTGAGTGACAACAGAGCGCGCGTTGTTTGCGCTAGTACGATTTCGTCAGCTTGGGCTACCGTGCGGCCGGTCCCTGCCCAGGTTCTTAGGCCAACCGGATCCCCTGCCGGGCTGAAGTGACGATACCTTTACAACTTCACACCCGTCTAATGCATGTGATAAACACATAAAGCATCAAAACTCAAGTGACACCACTAACATCTGGTAGGAGAAAATTCAGAGTGCTGTCTCATCCCTAAGGGATAACGAGGCTCAAGAACACACGACACCGCGAAGGAAAATTATCATCCATGATCATTCAGGTCTAAATTAACATTGCTAATTTCATATATACTAGAATCGAGTTTCGTAAACGACACTGCCGCTAAGCAAGATCCAAAGTGATAGAGTTGGGATCGGGCTTACTTCCCTTTTTCGACACACCACCCTGCGCAAACGCCACCATCTCCGCCGCATCATCAGCAGCAAAGAAGGCCGCAGTAGCAAACGGCGCACCAAACAGACAATCACCAGTGGAGAACGAAAGCGAGCAGATACCTGTAGACGGGTTGACACCCGAGCGAGCATAAGTGCGCAGCGGAATCTTGACGGTGACCTTCTTGCCCTCGACACCAGTGAACTCTAGATCAATAGTAGTGTCCTTGGGGATAGATTCGCATGTACCGTTCCAGCCAATGACACCATACTCGTCGACAACGAGGCCAGCGGCAGCAGCGAACTGGTCATTTTGACTGTAGCTGACGGGTAGGTAATCGAGTGTGGTGCCGGAGTCGACGAGGCAGGTGGGAGAGATGACGTCCGAGTTATCGAACGCTGTTCCATTGACTGAGACGACAGGCGGGTTGACGTAGTAGCCAAGTGTCACACCACCGAACGGAGCCTCAACCATGGGGACCTTGACGAGGTCGCCCGTGTATTTGGAGTGGTCGACGCCGCCGAAGACGACGTGGCCGGTGAACGTATCTTCGATTCCTTCAGGCGCCTCGTCGAACCACAGACTCTGTACGGGCGCGGAGATGGCGCCAGCCTCGAGTAGGTTTTGGCGCACGTGCGGGCCCGTCGTGTTCCAGGTCGGCTTGCGGTAGTATGGGGAGATACCCAAGATGCCGTCGTCAAACGAAGACGTCGGAGTACACTTTCCGCTGCTGTCGCCGAGGCGCGATGTCATGTAGCTTGAAATCGCGACTTCCGTGTCCACGGTCGACGAAAGGCCCGCATCGGAAACGAATTGGAAGGTATCGTTCACCGCCACATCTCCAGTGATAAACTTGCTGTTTCCTCCATACGAGTAGGAGGATCGGAAGGGTACTGGTTTAGACGCCGACGGGCTGTTTGGGTAGTCGTAAAAAGGCTGCACCGTCTCGTTGCAAGGGCCTGCACAGCCGAGACGAGTGCATCCCCAGTTCCTGATGCTGTCGGGGCCGAACACCCAGAAGTTCTCGGAACCTTGGTCGACGACGATTTCGATGGTGTGGTTGGTCGAGGGATCGACGAGCTCCGTTGAGATCTTCTGGGCGCCGCCATGCGCGAAGTTCAGTGGTATGTTGACCGTAGGCACAGCACCCAGGACACTGCTGGCGAGCGCGGAGACTGTGAGGGCGTATCGAACCATTTTGACGAGCAGAGAGAAGAAGAGCGTTGGTGAGGTCGGTTACGATTGATCTGACTTTAGAGATAGCGAAGAGGTCTTTAGTCAAGCTTGATGCCAGACTAATTTGGCCGTATCCGTCGCTTCATGCCGACTGATCCCGCCAAACACGACGACTAGCCGCAAAAAAAATCTTATCGCTTCATGCCTTCGAATGTCCCATACAGGGAGCGGAGCGGATTGCCGTGCGGTGAGGTCCAGGAAAGGGGCGCACCGACAGTTTTCGGTCCGCACTGCTTGCTGTCAGCGATTCGCATGACTTGGATACGATGCTACAAGGGCCATCCTGCCCTCTTGTCCAAGCGCAGAAGGACAGAGAAGGTCGTAATCGACAGTGAAGCTGGTGCAAGAGTGCTAATATTGGAACATGCACGATGTTACCTAGGTAGTTTACTCGTCCAGCGGAGTCGCGGCAGCTACCCCGGCGTGCAGGTACGGGAATTTGCTAGTGTCAAACAGCGACCCACGTTCCCGAGGTCGCGTTCGCTCTAGGTACGAAGTACGCTACACCTGGGCAGGTACACAGCCAACCTTCCTTTAACCTTCAACATTGTTTTTTTCGCTCCTTGGACCTCGTTGGTATACACTCCATCGCGTTTGCAGCTCTGACTGTCTAAAAATAAGACCAGAGCTAGGCAAATACCTCTGCATCCCATCTGGCACCCGCAATACCAGCGAGACTGTCGGGGTGCTCGGAACCTCGATATACGAGTATTATCCGCACCCATGTCGCAGCAATATTGCCCGCTCTTGGTCATTTGCGATGCTTGTTGTCAATGCTTAACATTATCCTTGCTGGGATGGTAGAAAATTGCGATACGTCACACTAGGAAGGTCCTCAGATAGCACCGGATTGGAGGTGTTGACGGTCGAGGGTCAACGTTCGCCATGATTCATTGCATCATGCTGTCTTCGTAATTTTCATCTCGTCTCGCGCGCTCATAAGTCCGCGATGCTCTGCTGAACTGCTCTCGTATATACCCGAAACATCAACTCTTTTTCTTTCATTTCAATTCATCGTCGGTTGCATCATGAGATTGGGCTCAACTCTTGTCTCGAGCGCGACCTTTCTGGGCGCCTTTGCTCGGTCGGCGGCAAAAGACAATGCTGCACATGAGAGTGTTGTAGAGCTTCCAGACGGCTGGAAGTCTGTCGGTGAAGCCGATGGTTCTCTACCGCTAACGCTGTCAGTCGCTCTAAAGCAGCCTCGCATGTCAGAGCTGGAAGCACATCTCCAAAAATTAAGCGATCCATCGCATGCAAAGTATGGGGCACATCTCTCTCAGGACGAAATAAGCAACTTCCAGCAGCCAGATCAAGACGGCCTTGTCGCTGTGCGTTCATGGCTCAATGCCAACGGAGTACAATTCTCAGTTGAAGGGTCGTGGTTACGAATCAACACTACCGTTGAGACAGCGAGCCAACTCATCGACGCTGATTTCGGTCGCTACCAATACAACGATGATAGTCCTGTTCTACGCGCGACAAAGTACAGCCTCCCCAGTGCGGTAGCAGACTACGTTGACTTTGTCTACCCCGTCACCCAATTCGTCCGCAAGCCTTCCAAGAAAGCACTGCCATCATTAGAATCACATTCCGAGAAGAGACAGGATTCATGTACGTAACAACTGCGCTACCCTCACCAACGAACCGGGCAAGATCAGCTGACCATGCCTCCTAGCGTCGCAAACCTGCCCCGGTGGAGACACAACACCCGACTGCATCATGCCCATGTACAACATCAATTACCAGATCCCCGACGCCGACTCCCCCGTGACTTTGGGCATCGCCGGCTTCCTGGAAGAATACCCTAACGAGCCCCTTCTACACTCCTTCCTGGAAAACTTCAGTCCCTACCGCAACACCACCGGCTACAACCCTCTCTACAACTTCACCGTCGCCTCGATCCAGAACGGCAACGATACCAAGCTCGGCTATGGCGGGGAAGCCCAGCTCGACATCCAATACAGCATGCCCTTCGTCCAGCCCATGAACGTAACCTACTTCTCCACGGGCGGCAAAGGCCCGTATCTCGACGAAAACGGCACCGAAGTGCCCCTCGATACCAGCCCCAACGAGCCATGGATCGAGTTCCTGGAAGCACTGCTCGAACACGAAGAACTACCTACTGTGCTCTCAATCTCCTACACTGACGACGAAGCATGGATCCCACGCGCCTACGCCAAGCGCGCATGCGACCTCTTCATGCAGCTCGGAGCGCGGGGTACATCCGTCCTCGTAGCCAGCGGCGACGGCGGCTCTGCCGGCACCGGATCTTCAGAGTGTAAGAACAACAGGTTCCGCCCTACGTTCCCCGTCGACTGTCCGTACGTCACCAGTGTCGGCGCAACAGCTGCCTACTCCCCGCTTAGCGCAGAGTGGTTCAGCGCAGGCGGGTTCAGCGATTACTTTGACCGCCCTGCGTGGCAGGACGCGGACGCGAAGAAGTATATCGCGCAACTAAACGGGTCGCATGATGGATGGTATGCGCCTGGTGGACGTGGTACGCCCGATCTCTCGGCTATTGGAACGCGATTCGTGATGGACGAGAGTGGTATCAAGCAGAAAGGGACGAGTGCGAGTACGCCTGTGATTGCGGCTATGATTGCGCTTGCAAACGACAAGAGGATGCGGGCTGGGAAGCCCGCGCTGGGCTTCTTGAACCCCTTGCTTTACTCGGATGAGCTGCGGCATGTGTTTGTGGATGTGACCGAGGGTCAGTCGGGTAGTTGTATTGTTAACCGCACTGCGGAGCCTGGGTGGGAGACGGCTGTGGGATGGGATGCGGCGACTGGGCTGGGCACATTGGATTTCGCTAAGTTTGTTGAGGCTGTTGCTTAGATATTAGACGTAGCAACAATTCCACAAGCCAACTAGTTCGAGACAACGACAGCGACAGTGTTGATTGGGACATGGACCCGTGCTCTTATTGACTGATTGAGTACTGTCCTCCCCATGCCGGACGGTACTGATGCTATGATGAACTCGTGCTAAACGCTAATAACAATCCTCAATGTGACGGCTTCTCGTCAAATCCAATCCGCTTCATATGTACGCTCAGTAGTATGTAGACCACTTCGTGGAGGTAGCCAAGATATCGATCGCTCTGACCGAGTATGGTTTTTAGTATAAGAACGCTGTGTGAGCAAATGCCCTGCAGCCTTTCTCAGGCAGTAGCCGCTTCCTTTGCACGCTTCTTCTCTTTCCTTGCTTTCTTTTCCTCTTTCCTCTTGATCTCCTCGGGATCCCGTTGCTTTTTGGTCTTCTTCGCCGGCACTTCAGGTGCATCAACACCATTGACATCAGCGTGTTTCCTCTTCGGCTTTTTGGAGGGTAAATTAAGTCCGTTCGGCATCGCAAGCCCAGCAATCGCCTGTGGTACCTCAGTCTCGTCGTCGGAATCACCGATAGTCCCAGCGTCGTTACCACTGAAGCCGGTGGGAAGGAAGCGCATCTTCAGTCCTGTGACTTGTGGTCGTGGTGCACGAATGGTCGATCGTGTTATGGAGGCGGCCGCCTCTGAGCCCGTGTTTTGGTCTGCTTGCTTTGTGGTAAGGTAGGGGAGTCGTACAACCGATCGTAGGCGTAAAGTCTGAGATATCCGCGTAGGGGCTAGCCCGGTCAGCATAGTCGGTAGAAGTAGTAGTTGATGAACGAACCTGGTCTCATGCCATTGTTCCGTGGTAATAGAACCTCCCGGGTGCCATCTTCACTCTCGGTCTGAGAGAAACCGTAGTCTGTACCCTTGTAGCTCAGTACGGCATCCCCTTTCATAGCTTTGTCCATGGCGAGCTCGCTCAAGTCCTTCAGCGAGACACCTGCGGGGGCAGTGATGTGCCATATCTGCTTTCCTTCTAGATTATCGAACAAGCCCGTCGACTTGGAGATAGTCCTGTCGTTGACTGGGACCGGAGCAAATCCTTTGGGTGGTGCGTAAGCCTGGGTCGGTCGGAAATCAACGGCATGCGATTGTGGTTGCACTGGCGGTGCCGGCTGTGTTTGGGTCGACTTGCGGGTCGGTTGCGGGGCGTTGCCTGTGTCCGAGTCGTCGCTAGAGCTGTCTCCGCTGCTGGTGTCGTCGCTGTCGCTCGAAGCTTTCTTGCTCTGCGTGTTACCTGGGAGCTTCGTCTGTATGTCCCTAGTCGGCGCGTCGTCGCCGCTTATCTCTGAGCTTGACAATTCTTCGGCGTCCTCCTGTGTCGCGATTTGCTTGGGCGCAGGCTTCTTAGGCGTAACCTTCGACTTCGAGGCTGATTTGGGGGCAGGTACGTCTTTCTTGCTAGGCTTGGACTTCGCTTTGGGTACGCCGTTCACGTGAATGCCAATGGTGGCTTTCGGCTTCTCGGGCTTCTTGGACTGCGCGGCGGTCTTACTGGGAGAATCATCGTCGCTGTCGATAAATTCCTGGCTTAATTGCGCTTTCGACGGGGTGTTCTGAGGTTTTGACTTGGGTTTGGAGCCCGGGAGCGGCACCTTGGTTTTCTGTATGGCACTCATAGTGTGGGTGGAGCCATGCTCTTTGCGACCAGAAAGTTGAGGTTCGTAAGGAACTTTTTTGCGCCGCGAACTGTCGCGCTCGGGCACTGGGCGGAGAAGAGCCGCATCGCGACTAGTCCCGATTAGGACTTGGCGCGCCAAAAATCGTTGGTTTGATCTTTGAAATGATGGGCACATGCAGAACACTAATGTCAACATCCAAAGTCAGTATGTCAGGGAAACGGAAGAGAGGGGAAGATGCGGCTGCTACTGGTGCGCCCAGCGGAAAGCCACTCACTGCGATTGCGGCTGCTCGACTAAAAGCGGAAGCTGCCGCCCAAGTTGTGAATACACCTCAAGTTGCGCTGGAGCAGATTCCTGTGCCAACGAGCCCGTTGCTTGATGCTGCAAAACCCGAGCACGAAGGTTCAGATGAAGAGGAGACCTATGCGCCCGTACATCGAAATGTCAAGCTTTGCAACTGGCGCAACGAACCCCAAAACATCCTCTCAGATACCGACACCGAACTTACCATCAACCTGAACAAACACGCGACTATAACACTGATAGGCACTTTTGATTTGACAGTTCTACGAGGCGCCGTCAACATCAATGGTGCCAACATTGGAACAGTCAGTCGTGATGGGCAGAAGAACCAGGTTCATCGAGCGTGCGTGCCGGCCACGCACCCTATGTCTAAGATTCGCGGACTAGATGGTACGAATCACATCAGGTTCAAAACTTGCAAGATATCTGCCCCCCTCGCAAACGTCAGTCCACTCTTTGACGGTATCTGGAGCGATTCAACAGATCGTTCGTTCCGAGTTGTAAGTCCCACATCCTTATACATCTATCTAGCATTGATCGCGACGGTACATGCGTGAGAAAGGTTGAGATCTCGAGACATGACGGCCATCTAACGTCTCTGCTAGGTAACCAACTCGGACGCGGATACATTTTCTCGGCCATTACGTCCTGAAGTAACACCCGAAGACTGGCTCCGCGCAATCGAGGACTGTGCTAGTAATGCATCTACCACCGTGGTGACTGGATCACCTAGCTCAGGAAAATCAACATTTGCTCGGCGGCTCGTGAATCGCTCCCTTACAGGTCTAGGCAAGACCGCTCCCTCTGTGCCAGCTGTATGCTGGATGGATCTCGACCCGCAAAAACAAGAGCATGTCCCCGCAGGTCAAGTCTCTCTTACCATAGTGAGAGATCTGAACCTGGGCCCAAGTTTCACACACCCCTCTGTTGTACCAGGACCAAAAGAAGCGACGAGGAACGAGGTTATCCGCGCACACCCAATTCCAGCAAATTTCGCCAACTACGCAGACTACTATCAGTCTTGCGTTGAGGATCTCTTCCTGGCATACAGAAGCCTTTCCTCGCGAGATTCATCTCTCCCCCTAGTCGTCGACATACCCGACTTCCTCTACTCTTCACATTTCGACCTCTTAACAAAGCTGTTGGTGAGAATTAAACCACACAATGTCGTACATCTCGGAGATACGCGGGCCATCGACACCGAAACAGCGGCAAAGCTGCATCTGCTTCAGACATCAACGTCGCAATTTCACGGCACATTCCATGAGATCACCGCGCAACAGGCCCAGACGATACCTGTAAGGTCGGATAATGAGTTAAGAGCTATGCAGATGCAATCCTACTTCCATCTCAAATCTAGCAGTACAAGCTCAAGCCAGACCCAAATACTCAGTTGGGCGCCAGAGACGCTTTCAAGTCTAGTACCATGGGAATTCTGCTACGAAGAAACGCCCGAGCGAGCACAGGATCTAGTGGCTTTCGCGATGTACTCTGAACCAGTAGAGCCATCTTCAATGCTACATGCACTGAACGGATCTATCGTGCACATTATCCAATCCACATCTGCTGCAGTCCCAGGCTCGCTTCCACGGACCCTGAGATTTGGTATTCCATATCTCCCCGAGTCCACGCGCACAGGAATGGTAGAGCCGCTGGATCCTCGAACGACGAGACTGGTCTGCACGGCGATGATTCGGGGCTTCAATCCGGCGAAGAAGATTGTAGAAGTGCTGGTACCAAAGACGCACGAGTCGCTGCTATACAATTTGTCACCAGAGAGGACTATCTTTGTAGGCGGATGCTGCGACGTGCCGGAATGGGCCTACTTGGAGGACGCATATGCGCAGGAAGAAGCGAGGAAAGCGACGACAGGTGTTGGTAATCTACCCGTTTGGGTCGAGAAGGATGACCTTGTAGATGGTATGGGATACCTCAGCACTGTACGGAGGGTGAGGAAGTTCCAGACGTGACCTCACGCTGGAGATATTGTTCATTAGCGCTCCAAGACGGAATGCAATCATGGGGTTGGTGCTTCGAGACCTTCACAGCAGCCTCTCATTGAACAAACAAAATGGAGGTTTTGGCTTCTTGTTGCGAACTACTGTTGAATCGCACTATAGCTGTTATATGTACACGTGATACCATGCTTGTTCCAATGTCCCCGACTACAAAATCATCTTCGGTGGAGCTGTGTGCCGTCAGCAGATGGAGTGAAAATGGTTGATGGTAAACTCACGATCGATGATTGGGCAAGGCAGGTTGCGCTCGTACTTTGATCCTACAACACCCGTCAGTACATTCATATCCGCGGCCGGTGCGGAAATGTATCCGGGCATTAGCAACGAACCTCCAGGAGCCGTGGGTGGGCGGTAAGGGTCTGGGTGCTTCCACTTCTCGAGCAGGTTTTCCGTCTCCTTGATCAGTTCCTATGCGACTCATCAGCAGAGTCCTCTGCGTAGCTGTAATATATGTGGAGTGTCGATGTAATCGCGGTGGTGGAATAGGAGACGCACCCTCATCTGTCGCGGCTCGGTAACATTGCGCTTGGCCTCGAAGAGTTCGCGGATGTACAGGGCCTGTCCGCGCCAGAGGTATCGGTGGACGCTCCAGTCGAGGGCGAGCTTGAGGGACCGCCTGTAGAGGCGTCTGCGGCTGGGTTAGTTTCTGCGCGTAAAGGGCGACGCCTGCGGGGGTTTGGCGTACAGGACGTGTATCTTGGAGCTCATGACGGTGATGGCCCTTCCAGTGGGAGTTGTTGCGGAAGGGAGAAACGTGGGTCGTGGCCGCAATGCCTCGGTGTCGTCGCAGATGGCTTGGTGAGGGCAGCGTGAGGTTGCGGGCTTGGCATTTGTGCCTGTGACGGAGGGTGGCTTCCGAGACGTCAGAAGTGTGGTGCCGTGTCTGCTTCAGTACCATACAACTGCCGCAAGGGGACTCATACACAAACCTTCGTTCGCTCGAAGTCGCCCATCGCTCTCACTCGCATCTTAATTTCCTTTTTCCCAGTCTTCGCCTGGCCGCCCATCATGTCCAGCCAGCAGTGTCTCCGCCGTCTACCAGCGGCTATGCGCTCTGTGCGAGCTTTGCGCGCAAGCCCACGAGCCATCCCAGCCGCGCGCAGCTATTCCGCCATCTCCAAGGCGAACTCCTCTGGTCTCCTCGCTCAAGCTTCAAGGTACTGCGAATGTCTACATCTAATAAAAATGCCCGACACTAACTGTTCATAGACGGCCTGGACAGCTCTCTTCACAACGCCTATGGACCCTCGAGCAGACAAGAAGCTATGCCGACACCATCGTCAAGGTGCCCGAGATGGCTGAGTCGATCACAGAGGGAACCCTGAAGCAGTGGTCAAAACGTGCGTTCACCATCTCCAATTAGTTATGCCAGCAGCTTACAATATGCAGAGGTTGGCGACTACGTTGAGCAGGATGAAGAAATCGCGACTATCGAGACCGACAAAATCGACGTCGCCGTCAATGCGCCCGAGGCTGGTACTATTAAGGAGTTCCTCGTCAACGAGGAGGACACCGTCACCGTCGGACAGGACATCGTAAAGCTTGAGGCCGGCGGTGCTCCAGCTGGCGGAAAGAAGGAGGAGGCCAGTGAGCAGCCCAAGGAGCCTGCGTCCAAGGACCAGGAGACTTCGTCGCAACCCGAGGGCCAGCAAGAGCAGTCTCAGCCAGAAGTGCCAAAGGAGGAGTCGAAACCAGAGCCTCCCAAGCAGGAAGAGAAGCCTCAGCCGCCCAAGCAAGAATCCAAGCCTGCACCTCCCAAGAAGGATTCCAAGCCCGAGGAGACCAAGCCGGCTACACCTGGCAGCCGTGAGGAGCGCCGCGTATGTAACCTTACTGTATGCTCAAATATTGTGTACTAACAGCCTTGCAGGTCAAGATGAACCGCATGCGCCTCCGCATCGCCGAGCGCTTGAAGCAGTCGCAGAACACCGCCGCCTCCCTGACCACCTTCAACGAAGTCGACATGTCCTCCATCATGGAGTTCCGCAAGCTCTACAAGGACGAGATCCTCAAGAACAAGGGCGTCAAGCTCGGTTTCATGTCCGCCTTCTCGCGCGCCTGCATTCTCGCCGCACGCGACGTACCCGCTGTCAACGCCTCCATTGAGGGCCCTGACGGCGGCGACACCATCGTCTACCGCGACTACGTCGACATCTCCGTTGCCGTCGCTACCGAGAAGGGTCTCGTCACCCCCGTCGTCCGAAACGCTGAGAGCTTGGACATGGTCGGCATCGAGAAGGCCATTGCCGACCTCGGCAAGAAGGCGCGCGACAACAAGCTCACCATTGAGGACATGGCTGGTGGCACCTTCACCATCTCCAACGGCGGTGTCTTTGGCAGTCTGATGGGAACTCCCATTATCAACCTCCCCCAGACCGCCGTTCTCGGTCTGCACGCCATCAAGGAGAAGCCGGTCGCTATCAACGGAAAGGTCGAGATCAGGCCGATGATGTACCTTGCGCTCACATACGACCACCGACTGCTCGACGGAAGGGAAGCTGTCACTTTCCTCGTCAAGGTCAAGGAGTACATTGAGGACCCCAGGAAGATGCTCTTGTAAGCGTTGATGCTGTAATCGTGTCTTTGTGTATATGTAGGATGGGAGGTTTTTCCGCGAAAGCGCGGGAACCAGTAGCGGGGCAGAGAAAGGTGTGGTTGATTGGATCAACGAGATATTTTGGCATGCATTGAATCATTCGTATTGCATAAATGTGTTTGATAAGTCTTCAGCTGTGTGCATGAGTGATTTGGTGCAGGTTGAGTGGTGCTTGAGTGATATCGTGCGTAGAAGTGTTCCCATGTTAATGTCGCGTCTTTGCGCAGGCCAGACGGGACATGACGCGTCGACGTCCATGTCTTTATGACGAATGTAATAGATACCGTCGTCTCTATAGCCTCTGGTCGGATTTTTGAAGTTATTTGCATGTACAAAAACGCGCGTATACGCGTCTAGTATGTGAAAGCGCCGTGGTCGCGTCTGTGGTTCACACGCCGTAAAGGCTGTTGTTGTAAATGTACACCACCACGCTGGAAATTGAACCTACACTTAGTTTCAAAATAAAACATAGGGTCGCTATAGTCGATGTATGCTGTTTCGGAACATTTGATTGTAGTGGTGGAATGTGATGATTTTTTGAACAAGTTGCTGTTGGTGCTTAAATCCACAAGTTCAATCTTGACCTTTCGACTTATTCCGAACAAACAGCATACGGGGAAAAGAAATAATCGAGACTACCAGCATCAATCCTTCATGCCATCAGCTGCGGGTGATGTATAAAATACATTCCATGGCATGAAATACGTAGTATGCCTTTTATGTTCGGCACGCCGTCAACAATGCCGATGCGTACATGACCATAGGAAGACATCCACCAACACACATCATGCGACACGAACACCTTGGACCTAGAGAACTAGGTATAGCAGATAGTACAGATAATAAGAGTCTTGAGTCGAAGAAGGAGAACATATCAAGTCATGTTATCCGAGACGGTGCACCTGTAGACACACGCATTCACTGTGTACACCAAGAACACTACAGCCACCTACGCAACGTTTGCACCATAATTTTCCAAAGATACAGCCAAACTACACAGAAGTGCTAATTGACTGTTGTCCAAGCGCAATGTGTCCACGGTAGGTGGTACATCGTACCCCGGGTTACGTCACACAGCTCCGTCGACTACCACATGGGATCCGCTCAACGCAGCAAATATCACCATCTCTACCATGCACATATATGCCATCTATTGCCCAATTCGCTCGTTGTTGTCGCTGAATCCCCAGAACCACAATTGTGCCGGTTCGAACGCGAAATGCTTGTCAAGACAGCATGGTCGAGAATGCGCGATGGTCGAATGCAGTCGACGCAACGTTATCGCACGTGTAGGCGAAGTGGAGTCTGCGCGTTACTCAGACGAACAAGCGCGAGAAGTGGCGGTGTAGCTAGCTGGTGGATAAGGTTACACGGCGCGCATGGCAAAGTCCAAATAGCGCGTATGCAAAGCTGCACGTTAGCAAGATGGAATTCACGGCAGAAGACGGTAGATGAAGTGATATGCTCGATTCAGCTCATGAGCTCGCGGTCGTCAATACAACCAGCTAATATACAGCTCTGGTATAAATCCCGTAAAAAGCCGAGAACCCAAACCCAGACCGACTCCCATTATCATTGCAGATGAAAAAGACCCATGAAGTAACCACGCCGTGAAGAAGAAACTCAAATGCAGGACGCGTTTAGAGCTCCTGCGAAGGACCCTTGCCAGGCTTGGCTGTCTTCTTGGGCAGAAGGTCTGAAAGTATGTTAGCAACTGATGCGATGCGAGCGGACTGTGGAGCAACGTACTCTGGTGAATGTTGGGGAGAACACCACCCTGGGCGATGGTGACGTGTCCGAGAAGCTTGTTCAGCTCCTCGTCGTTCCTGATGGCGAGCTGGAGATGGCGGGGAATGATACGGGTCTTCTTGTTGTCGCGGGCAGCGTTACCGGCCAACTCGAGGATCTCAGCAGCGAGGTATTCAAGGACGGCAGCGAGGTAGACGGGGGCACCGGCACCGACACGCTGAGCGTAGTTGCCCTTGCGGAGAAGACGGTGGACACGACCGACGGGGAAAGCGAGACCGGCCTTGGATGAGCGGCTAAGGACGAGTTAGCTATGATGCAATGTTGGAGATGGAGTGCGCAATGCCATGCGAAAAGACGCGTCAATCAAGCAAAAGACGCGTCAAAAAGATGCAAAGTGAAGCTGAAGAATGCGCAAGGCAGACTGGAGCCAAAGGCGCGATGCAGGAGATGGACTACTCACGATTGGGCGCTGGACTTGGAGCCGCTGGCCTTGCCTCCGGACTTGCCTCCAGTCATTTTGAGAGAGTTGGTTTGGGGGTTGGTTTGGAAGTGGGAGAGGTTGGAGAGTTGAGTAGATTGAGCGGGATGAGCTGGTTGTGGGCGTGGAGTGTCGAGACGATGGATTGCTTGCTGCTGTCGGGGGGCGGGGCGGTCTTATAAGGACGGCGCTGGACTGTTGTGAGTGCGCGAGATCAACCTGCCCACGCTAGCGCGCGAAAAGGCAGCGACGCCGCCTAGCGCCTGCCGCCAGACTGCGCAAGATCAATGGCGGGCCTCGCTTAGCCACCAAACCGGCAAGAGCTGCTGCACGGGCCTCCCAGCCGCTGCTGGATCACAACATGAGAGCGCGCTCCCCATAAGTAGCGCACTCCCCGCCGTCGACGACCTTTCCCTTCATCCATCGCAAACTCCCACCACGACGCTCGACCAACTCCATCTCACTCCAAGCTTCTGCTTTTAACCCAAACCCACCTTTTTTACCACCACCTCTCAAATCCACCAAAATGCCCCCCAAGGCCCAGAAGACTCCCACCACCGGCGGCAAGGCCCCGGCTGGCAAGGCTCCCGCTGAGAAGAAGGAGGCTGGCAAGAAGACCGCCGCGCCCTCCGGTGACAAGAAGAAGCGCACCAAGACCAGGAAGGAGACCTACTCCTCCTACATCTACAAGGGTGAGTTTGCACTTTGCGCGTTCTGAGCGCTCCATACAGTCTTTGAGGCCTTGCGCTTCATCGGCATCCATTGAGCAGAATTTGCTGACGCGTCTTTAGTCCTCAAGCAGGTCCACCCCGACACCGGTATCTCCAACCGTGCCATGAGCATCCTCAACTCTTTCGTCAACGACATCTTCGAGCGCGTCGCCACCGAGGCCAGCAAGCTCGCTGCCTACAACAAGAAGTCCACCATCTCATCGCGCGAGATCCAGACATCGTACGTTTTCCGCCTTTCTTCTGCATCCAATCTGATATACTGACCTCAATCACAGAGTTCGTCTGATCCTGCCTGGTGAGCTTGCCAAGCACGCCGTCTCTGAGGGTACCAAGGCTGTCACCAAGTACTCTTCCTCCACCAAATAGAGTGCTTTCTTTTCGCCGGATGTTTTCTTTGGGTCTTTCTTGTCTATTTGACAAGTGGTTATGGGGTGCGGTGTTCACGGGTCCTTTGCTAATGTGATCATGGGTCGGTTTGTCTGTCATCGAATCATCTAGTCGTATTCGACTACGAGGTCCATCAGGGTCTGTACATTATACCACAGCAGACGGGAACGAATCAATTATTTCGAACTTCACACATGACTTCATTTCCTTTGACTTCCATTTTCTGAACGTCGTATCTTCTTCTCTGACTCACAGACTCCCGTTCCACACAGAACGCACTGCGTCATTCAGCCATAGCGCGTAGATCTGGAAACGCGCCTTTCTCGAGACGATACGCGATAGCGACGCGTGGCTGAGCGTCACGCGCCGTGATCTACGAACACGCGCCGAACGCGTCTTTAACGACATCTTGACGAAACCGGAGGAACCGCGCGTTTGACGACTTCGGTCCAGATGACGTAGGCGGCCAGCGGCCGGAACGAGTGAAATCCAGAACTGAAGCGGCAAGCACGAGTTTCCACATGGCAAGCGTCCGCACCTTAGCAATCACTACCAAGATTTATCGATTTATGGATTGCGCACCAAAACGCGGCATTTACGGATATACACGTACCAAACCCTCGAATCCCATGACTCCAGACACGCATGTACCCATATTGATATCATTGCGAGACCCAGCAGAAAACGCCATAGCAATCAAGATGGCAGTTGCCTATTGCAAGCCATCCTCGTCCCAACTCTCGACTTCGTCAATAGCACCCTCTCTTTCTTGTCCTCGCGGCGCCGGCTCTTTGTCCTGCACGTGCACCACGCTCTTGCCTTGCACGCTGCGAACGCCTTCTTTCCAGTTATCGTAGTCCTCTTGTGACGTTATGAGAAAAGCGAGAAGCATCGAGGGGTCCATCTCGCGGATCTGTAGACGGCGGATGCGGCGCGTATGGCAGGAGGCGAGTTCTTCGGCAGAGTAAGAGGATGAGTTTGATGAAGGGACGATGGTTGTTGATGACGAAGTGGACGTTGCTGAAGCTTCTAGTGTGGAAGGAGCGGCTGTTTCCTCGTCTTGGGTGGATGACGAAGGAGAGCGGTAGGGTAAGAGTGGGCGCGTGCTGTGGGGATCAAGGTAGAAGAAGTTATTCGCCTGCGTGGCTACGAAGTAATGTGATGCTGAAGGGCGGCCACTGTGAACAGTTAGTATAACTCGCTTCGAAGTATGACAGACACTTGTTGCGCCTCACCCTGCAATACCAATGCTTTGCTTCATCTGCAGGCTCGCCTTCAGCGCCTCCCAATACACTGGAGTGATCTTGTCGATGCCCAACCTTGTGCCGACGAGGATTAGCGTAGGTCGCCATTCTCCGTCGTCGTCCACGGCGATTTGCTTCAGCTTATCTTCATACACGTCGGCGCCGTCACCGGATACGTATACTCTCAGTCCAGCTTCCTTGTACTTGTGCACTAGATCCTGTATGCACCGTGCTGCGGCTGAGGGACCGAACCACTCGCCAGGGTACTTTCCACACACAGCAGCGCCGTGCTCGACGAAGCGGTGGATAGAGAAGGGCGCTTTCGGATCGTCGGCAAAGAGCGAGAGTATTTCATGGTGCTCAGGCACATCAGGCTTCTCTTGGTATCTCCAGTCCCGTCCCAGACGTAGCATCTGCAGCGCGTTGGCGAGTATGCACTGCCCGCTCCTGATCATGCAGCCAAAACCCGTATCCGATGTGAATCCAGGCGAGGCGAGGTTCTGCATGCGCACGCGGAAACTCATAGCGCTCGTTGCCTTTGGGTCCTGACTCTTCTGGATCGGTGCGAAGCCAGACCGATAGGTCATCCAGATGCGCGACTCGAAGTCATCGAGGAAGGCAGAGGGCCAGTTGCCGTATTGTGCTGGATCCTCGCCATTTGGAGCTTCCTTGCGTTCGGACTCTTCGATGCTGGTTCTTATCCAGCTTTCGTCTTCGTTGCGTTCGGACAAGGGCGTGGGTGCAGGCGTCCCGGCAGCTGGGGAATCAGTGGGCGTAGGCTTGGACGGCGGCGGCCGGGGGTCGTAACGCTGGCCGAGCAGCCATATGGGGTCGTTGGAGTCGTTGGTCGGCGGAGGGTCGTAGAAGGTGCGGACGATGTTGCGGCTGACGCGCTCGAAGTCATGCATGATGGCTGCAACAGAAGGTGTTGTAGCCAGGGCGGCGATGGATGCGGAGGTGATGCGGAGGTCCCGAGATGAGGTTGCCTAGAGCTGACTGCACGCGTTCGTACTTGCCACAACTATTTGCACATACCCACGATACCAGACGGTGGGTTGGTGTAAAGTAGCAACACGATGTCGAGCTTCGTGGGTTGGTGCAGCCAGCTGCAGAGGGTCAGATGCGGCTCTACGAACCCAGGTTCCGCGGGGGAGGGGCCTGCGGTGCTATCACCTGGCTGTGTCACTGCGTGGCAATCACGTTCCTGGAATGCGTTGGCCAGAGTATGCGCAACCCATGTATACATCACCGCGATTCAAGCGCATTTCATTCATTCACTCTACAATGACTTCCATGCTCAGAAGCTGCTGGCGCACTGTCCACGCATCTCCAGAGCTCACCGGGGAGCGATAACCAGCGGCTCCATCGTCATAAGCTCCGCTAAGCTAACCCTGCGCATCGTTACTAGCCCCGCGCCACTCGCGACCCTTCGAGCCATCGAAGAGCGCATCATCTCCAAACGCTCACCAACACCGTTCTTTCCTTATTTCCTTCGTTTTCACCGCACAACGCTTGTCGCACCGCTGTCGCTATGTCGAAGGGCAAAAAGGGCAAGAGCAAGGCCAAAGGCGGCTCGGCCAAGGGCACACCGCAGCGCGCGCAGTCCAAACGCCACTCATACCAATCATGGCCAGTACATGAGGAGAGTACGTTTGCGCTCTTTCCCCAATCGCCACATTGAGATTGGGCTGTATTGACCGTCACAGCCGCGACCGCCTCCAAGTTCTCCCTCAAAGACGAGGCGAAATGGATGTCAAGTCACCGCACCGCTGCGTTTGAAGCTGGCAAGAAATTGCGACACATGCCCATCGAGTTCATAAGCGCCGGCCACCTCGAAGGCACGCTGAAGAAACTCACGCCCGACGCAGAGACGGCCCACGTCTCATCTGAATCCAGCGCTGAATCCATTACACCATCCTCGCCCTCCTCCACCCCCGACAACACGTCAGCAATGGCACACATGGCCATTCGCAGTCCCTCACCCGCGCCTTCTGAGGCTTCATCTTCGAGCGCCGATGAAGTGCTATTCAGAGGCCGTGGAAACCAGCCACCAGGTGCGCCTGCCGCCACCTCGTCCTCTCAACAGGCACCCAAAGCCACCTCTACTGCGAAGCCGCCACCCACATCATCCGCACACGCGACGGCGCGACCATCACAGCCGACTCCTTCAACAGAGACCCCATCTGTTCAGACACCCGAGCTCACCGCTGCCTCTACTACCGACAATACATCCGTGGCAACGACAGCCAAGCTTCCAGTATCGGTTGAGCTCAGCATTCGAGGCAACGCTACATCTCAGTTGGAGGTAGAGGTGGACTCGGATGCCGATGACGTTGATCAAAACCAGTTCTCAAAGCGAAGAGGAGGCAGACCCGCATGGGAAGGCACAACTACCGAGTGGCAACACCGGAGCAAACCAAATGTCGGATGGTTGCCTGGCAATGCCCGCCCTAACATGGACGCCTATCTGCGCGGCGAGGTAAACCCTCGCGACGCCGCGATAGATGACTACATGCAGAACATGGAGGAGTTTGGTCTTACCGAAGACATGATGGCTTCGTCTGGCTTCGCACGTCGTGAGATGGATCTGGATGCGGGCAGTCATAATGATTGGGAGTCAGCTTCTGGAAGTGAAGATGGTGGCAACGAAGATGCAGGCGATGGCACTGAGGAGTGGGACTCAGATATGCTGCAGGATTTCGACGACATGGATACCGCATCAGACGTCGCGGACAAAGTCGTTCGGATTCTATCAAAACGCATGCGCAAGAGTGGCCTTCAATATCTCTGCGTATACGAAGACTCGATAATAGACGAAGCTCGCTGGATCTCACCTACACACCTCAAGTCTGGTGACGAGAAGCTACTGATCAAAGCATTTGAGGCAGAAGCTCACGAGCGTGAACAGCAAATGCTTTCCAGCAGCGACTCCGAGGACGACTCCGAGGATGAAGATGAGGACGATGAAGATGAAGAAGCTGAAGATTGGGACGATGAGACCATCGCAAAGGTCTTGCAAAAGCAAGAAGAGCTCGGCCTTGGTGGCGACGAGCTGATGCTGTATGGTGGCGATGAATATTTTGATGGATCGGGCCCATCTAAGAACTACTCATATGGCGGTTACGGCAGGTCCAACAAAAAGGGAAAGGCACGCGGACGTGGCAAGAGAGAACCCACTTTCCCCTCTGCCTCTGCTATGGTCGCGGCCCTTGAGATGGACCCATATGGCGGCTTTGACATCATGGACACTGAGCGCCCATCGCTTAAACCCAAAAAGAAGGGTCGACGTGGTCAGCCACCGCCAGAATTGGAGGATTCAGATCTGAACGAGCAGTTGCAAAGCGCATGGGCGAATGACAGGGCCAAGAAGCGTCTGAAGAAGGCCGAGCGCGAAGAGTTGCGTCAACAAGGCTTGTTAGGTCGCAAGGGCAAGGGCCCCAACCTCAAGGTCAAGTACCAGGGTGGCCTCGATATGGAAGACATTGTCGAAGAGCTTCGTGAGTTCTTGCTAGGCGACATGCAGACATTGTCTCTCCCACCCATGGAGGCTTATCGCCGCGCCACCGTCCACCAAGCTGCTTCATTCTTCAATCTGAACTCACGTTCTCGGGGAAGTGGTATGGACAGGTTCACCATCCTGTCCAAGACCAACCGTACCCGCACTTATACGGACGACGAATTCGATATTGCGATTGCGAAGAAGGGTTTCCAGAAACGCCTCAAAGGTCCTCTTTACTCAGAGGGTGGTGGTGGCGGCCGTCCGGGCAAGTATTCCACCGTCAAGCACAAGCAAGGTGGTACGCGCACACGTCCTCAACTGGGCTACAAAGATGGCGAGACTGTCGGTGCGAATGCGCCAGAGCTCGGTCCTGAGAGCAAGGGCCATGCCTTGATGATGAAAATGGGATGGTCCAACGGTGAAGCTCTGGGTGCTGGCGACAACAAGGGCATCCTAAAGCCTATTCCCCACACTGTCAAGACCAATAAGGCTGGTTTGCAGTGATCGAGCTGTCTGTATCACGACATCGCTTAATGACGTTGCCTTTCCCGGACGTTTACGAGGTGGCGTTTTACGACGTCCTGCTTAACCACACTCACATGCGCAGCACTGATTGCGTTTGATATGGCATATAGTACCTTGTGTATATCCTTGTGTATATTAGTATTGGCGGAGTCTGTGGCGTACGATGGGTTACCGATCATAGCACGTTTACGAAGGGCGATGGCATTGCATTGCGCGGCAGACACCGGCGGTGTTGTTTAGATCTTCCATTGTCGCCTGCAGATCCACCGCGGCGGCTCGTCATGCAGCTGTCGTTTGGAGCTCGCGATACTTTTTTTCTCAAGGCCGCTCAAGTATGTCTCTTCGACTCATGATCTTGTCGCGACATCGCTTGGGTAGGCATCAAAAACACATCAAAATCGTACAAAAAAATCCAATAAAATACTAGAAATTATGAGCTGAGCCGCGTAATGTGATGAACCCAGTGACTGTTACGTAGGTTGCTTTGGTGATGTATATCGCCGATGTAAGTACTGACAAAAACCTCCGGTTCTTGGTATTCAATTTCTTCACGATAAAGCATGTCACCAAACCGATCGAAAAATCATAACACTGCACAACGCGTACTTTTTGCCTTTCCATAACGCGTCACAGTCTCTTTTCGACATCATGCCTCGTTGGGACGTGAGAAATCGCAGAAAAAACGCGCGCACATATGTTTATACGCATGGTATGCATACGAGGTAACCATCTAGCCAGCTCGATGAACTTGACTACCTTGCAATGGAACCCCATCGATACAATGAAGCTGAAAGGTGGAATAAGCCATTGCCCAATTCTTTCTATGCAGCAAGGTAGAGGCCGATTGTCAAATCGTTTCTTATTAACTCAAGCTAAAACACCATTCTGGAGTCTACATCCAGACCTGACTGTCCAAACAACAAGGGTTTAATGCACCTCGGAGACTACATATACACCCTCGCACGTAGGTCATATTCCACCTGCCACCTAGTCTCCTACATTCTCCTGAAACTGGTCGCGATAGCTTGCTCAAACTGTTGCGTGGGAATAAAGTAGGCGCATTTGGATAATCGTTCGATGAGTCAAAGTTCCCACTGAAGGGCGTCAACCGACAGAAAGCCTCTAACAAGGCAAGCAGTCTGAGAGATCTATTCGTAAGATAATCGTGACAGAAAAGACACAGACACCATGTGTGTAAGTCCCCAAATGTTATGTACGGAACGCCGAACTAGCCATGCTCCCCTTCTTAACCAACAAAACGCGTGCCGAAGTTGTAAATGATGCCAAATGAGGGTGTCATGTTCCCCAAAGTGTCAAAATGTAATGGATATCGTAGTGAAGGTCCTATTGTACTGGTTCGTCCGGGTTCTGCAATCTCTTCCCAAGGTAAGTATGCGAAACGAGCGGATTCGATCAAAACGCGGCGTATTCCTCGTTTGGTGGCAGTTGATAGTTCTCTGCGTGCAGGCCCTTGAGCGCTTCCTCGCCGTCCTTGGTGAGGTCTGGCCTACCGACAGGTGTGACTGCGCCGGTGAAAAATCGTGGCTTCCACTCTTTCTCCGCCGCCTTTCGCTCTGCAGCCTTTTGCCGTTGCTTCTCTTCTATTTCTGTCTTGAGGTTCGTCGCCAGTCCATATTGCTTGCCTACTATGGCATTCGTGACGCCGTCCCAGAACCTGAGGGACTCGTTGGGAAGCTGCTGCTCGAGCGGTGGGACGATCTTGGCTACGGGGTCAAGCGGATTGAGGTCGATGATGAGGTTCTTCTCCTGCTTCATGTTAGGCTGTGATCCAGACCGCCGCTCAGTGTACTTACAGCGACCTTAGCAAATGGCTTGCTGCCAAGGGTATAGTAGACTTTGTCCTGCCAGTTGCCCTCTATCCGC